GCTGTCTCGGCCACTCAGCCTGAGGTCCGCTGGGCGCAGAGCTCGGAGCCACGAAACATATGGCCATGTCTCACTTGCACCAATGGGACCAAAGCGAATCGACCTTTTGACCTTTTTCCCACGTTTCCCATTTTTAGTCATGGCCCCAAAACGTAACCTTTTAATTCTGGGTCCTTTGGGCAACTGACATGCACATGGGTTGAGGCGTTGCTTGATGTTTGTACCTGGCACAAAGGGGAAAGACTGTGGGCACGCACATGTTTGGGGCTCCGTAGGGGTTTGACTTCCACAGTCCGGACTGGACTGGTCTGCCACATGCTGCTGTTACACAGCTTGTCCACCTGTTCAGATTGCGACAATGTACCATGATCAATCCGCAGTCTCCAACACTCAACAGTCCTACTAGAGTCATACAAAAATACTCCAGTCATTGCTTGCTGGGTTCACGCATGTTCACGCTTCCAGCCTTTGATCGAAGGACTCTATGAGGTAGAAGCAGCTTGTTCGCCCCCTTGTCCCAGTGAATTCGGCAGCAGCTGCAAGGAACAGCTGCTACTTTGCGACCGGCTTGCCGCGTATGCCCGCAGCGCCGGGGATCCCAATGCCTCAGAGCTTGGTTAGACCACGCTCGCGACTGTGGTGTTGATGGCTTCAGGGGACTCAAAGAGGGCCTTTTCCTTGGAGCCGTGTCACACACCCACTTCCAGGGGAATACTTCAAGAATGGCAGCAGGGTATAAGAGAGCGAGAGTGAGGAATAGCATGTTTGCAACCTTGTTTTCAAAGGCCAATGTTTCCGCACACATGTTAACCCCAGCCCTAAACCCAACTCGATTTTGAAAAAATGCTCTACGCCATGCGATCAACGAACACTGAGTCCCGAGCCGAGCTGAACTCTTGAGTAGGCGTTTCGGCCACAGGCGCCTCGTGGCGTGCTGACCTAGTTCAGCTCTTGAGTGCATGAGTGTTGGCAACCCTTTCCTTTGTTCTTGGCCTGGATCGTAAGCTTCGAACGCCACGCTTCTAATTTGCCGTGGGGGCAGTAGGTCAGCACCAGGCAGGTTTGCACGCTGTCGCTAACAAGCTGTGAGAGGGAGGGGGGGGAAGACCGCGAGCCTGGGTCAGCCACAAGGCAAAACACGTCAGAAGTTCAAGCCCAGCAGGACCCCACGAAGATCCAAGGACGGCAACAGGAAAGATGGAAAGCCTTGTGTCCGTTGCTTGATAGCCCTCCCAAATTCTGAGGAATGAGAGGCAGTGGTAAACGCAGCTGCAAAAATCACGAGAAGGGCAGGGGATGATAGATTTGGTGATGTTTATTTATGCAAATCGAGGGCATTTTGAAGGATTGGGCGTGTCAAATGGTTCTCGATGTAGCTCGCAGAGTGAACTATGCTGAAAAGCGCGCAGGATACAAACTACGGATTCTAAACAGCACCTACAATTACTTGAAACAACTGAAATGAATGCTGAACGCAAGAACACAAGTTAACATAATATGTATTGGTCCTTGCAAGGAGTTATGTATTCGGTGACCATTCATCTTGGCTTAAATTCCTCCGCGAAAGATCGGCGATGGAGTTCGCGAAAGATTCCGCGTTGGATTCTTGGAGGCATGCCTGTGCACTTACATATTTGCAGACCCCGCTCCCTTGTAGATAGGGAGATACGCAGCACCTACACTTGCAGTATTGATTTCCTGCCTGTGTTGGGAATGGTGCAAATCAATAACGTTGGACGTTGGCTGGGCTATTTTGGAGCAAGTTTCGCGAAAGATCCGCGAAAGATCGGCGAAAGGCCAGGGAGCTTGTTGCAAGGTTCCGCGCATCGCCGGCAAGCGCAAGTGGCAAGGGCGAATGACGGTGACTGCTCGCACTTAACACTACGTACCGCATGTTTCCGGAAAACGCCATCTTCGCGAGAAAAAAAGTTTCTTTCGCGAATCTTTCGCGACTCCATCGCCACGCCCTTTTGTTTGCGAGCCATTGTGACTGCTGCAGTTCTGCTTGCAAACACGGTGGCCGCAGTTCACTTGCGGGAATCTTGATGAACTGCCATATGTCAACGATACAGTAGAACATGTGGTTTCCGCTAGGCATATATTGGACACCTTCTAGCATCTAGAAGTGCAAGTATGGTCGAGAGAAAAAGTTAGATACATGTGAGAACTATGCTAAGCAACTGTAAGGCGCAAGCTGACAGGCTTGAAGTAGACTAGATGCTTTCAGTACACTGGATGCATGTGCGTTGCTCGTGATAACAGCACCTAACATACGGATTATGCTCCATTAGTTGGATTCTAGAAGCATGCTGCTGGACATTCGTTGGGCATATGCATTATGCTAACTAGACATATCCTAGAAGTATGCAAGGCATTCCCAAAATATATATCACGGATGAACTTTCTCCCTGTATATATATATGCATTTATTCCAACGGGGGCGGAACAACTTTGACAGGCTCATGTTGGGAGCAGGGTCACCCTGAACATGGCTTTCTCATTTTGTTCGGTTGCTTGTCATTGCTCCAGAAGCACTTCAACAAACCGCCAAGCGACAGCTGAGAAATCACACACACACACATCAAAACCGGGGCAATAGTTAAACAACGACACATGTGCAAATCAACAATAAGCTCGAGAAATCGGAAACACATGAAGCACAAAACACAATTGCTAGAAAATGTTTGGGGCCCGGGTCACCCTGAACGTGGTGCCGGCATATCGTATTTTTGTCCAGTGATGTCCAGTGTCTCAAGTTATATGTATATATATATATAAATAGATATATAGCTTTCTGGTTTTGTCTGTAAAGGCATTGTGGTTGCAGGACCACCTGCTTTGTCCTCCCCCCCCCTCTTGATTTCTCGAGCTTCTTCTCAAAGATCCAAGGCTCACAGCGTCCCTTTCGGGAGTCAGATCCCAAAGCGCGGGTGATGCGGCCTGCAAAGGGCCAGAATCACTGAGGTGGCACACTTCCCAACTGCAGTCAAGGAGTTCGAGTGGCGGAATGGCGCATTTTATGCCGAGCACTGAGCTGGGAGAGCTTGGGGTCAACCCGTAAGGCAGGTCCGCAAAGGTTCTATGCCTCTATCCCGGAACAGCGAGGCCGCTGTACAATGCCCATAGTATTCCCTTTGCCTGGCGCCTGTTTATTGTAGCTTGCGGCTTTGTTTTCTGTGCGTCGGAGCGCGCCATGCTAGCATGGAGGAGTGGCACAGATTGCAATCATTTTCACTGGCTGAGGGGAACGCCTGCACTAGGAACTCTTTCCTAACGAAACCAACTATATCAGGCCGCCTGCCTTGCGTATGAGCTGGGAAGCTCCAATATGCCAAGGACATGACGCTGCAGGCCGAGGCACGCTGCCAGTGAACGTGCATTGTGCTGGATTGCCGTTCGCACGTACAATCGTTTTTTGTTGTTTTTCCCCAGCTAATCGTCAAGCAATGCTTCGCCTTGCTTGTTTAATGGCAGTTCGCGATTAGTATCCCCCGATTCAAGGCTCCCCCTTTGCCTCCCAGATTTCCACCAATACTAAAGTAAGCGGCCAACAAGTTTTGCCCAAATTGCCCCACCCAATCATTTCTTTGGGCGCCCCAAAACCTCCTGTTTAAAGGTACCCCCCTGCGGCCCCCAAGCCCAAAAACCAGCCAGAAAGGGGCTTTCCTTTTTGCTTATAGTATTTGCTCTGTTTGCGATGTTTGAGCTTAAACCCACCAACGCTAGGCCACTAAAACCCTGAAGTTGTCCCATGAGGACCCTCTGAGCTAGAAGCAAAAAAGTGATGTTGGCGTCTATAAAGTCCCAATTGTCCAAGGGTCAAGAAGGCAAGGACCGAAGAGGTTCTCCAGGTTGCTGTTTCCAGTGGCCGGAAACACAAGGACGGTCGAAGGGGCTCCAGATTAATCTCTGTTTCGGGGGCTTGCCAAACCGTGTCGACCTTGAACGAGGGCGGGGAGGGGGGCACTTTACTAATCAAGGTAAGTGTTCTCCACCTTTTGCACCCCCTATCTCCGAAGTGCTCGCAGGCTGCAGGACGACCGGACCCATGCCCCAAGCATACTGACGGCCTGCGCACAGTGGGCGCCGCTTGGTTCGCATGAGATGGGCAGCACATGTTGCGCTTCATATTTGGAGCTTACAACATAGGAGTCATTAATTTGTTGTTGTTCTGCCTTGGTGCTTGCTAGGGAATGTGGTTGAGCATCCCTGATGAGTAATTATGTGTTGCTTGTTTTAATATTGGTTGTTTTTGCCTTTCTGACCTAGCTAACGATACGTTTCAAGGAAGCTGATTTTGCGAGCAATCCGCGCGAATCCTTTGGAGTTTCATGGAACTGGCCTTGATTTATCCATTCTGCAACCTGCCGAATTGAACCGCAAGCGACGGCCTCAAAGCTCCAAACGCTGGGTTGAGGGGTTGAAAGTTCAACGTCCCCTCGTTTTGTGGGCTTAAGTTTCAGAATATGTTGTGTTAAACGCTTCAGGGCCGGTACGAGAGAAAGAAAAAGCGCTTCAGGGCCGTTTCATTTAGAGGCCGGCCATAGTCCAAGGGCACGGATGTTCAGGAACAAGGGCGGGCGGGCTGGACGCATGACTGGCCACCCGTGGCGTTGCCAGCCGCTTGGCCGGAAGTCCAACGAGGCTGGCTTCTGTAGTCTGGCAGTTTGGCAACTACTGCCATGTTTGCTGTGGAAAGCCACACATGCATCCAAAAACCCAGCGCATCATGCAGAACCTGGCCTTGCTGGACCTGAGAGTAGCTCGCTTCAACAATCGACAACTTAACTCGGCAAAGTAGTTGGACACCAGCTGCTCCCGCTCAGATTGACTCCACGCGCGAACCAGTTACAAGTACGCGTTTGGACAGCCAGAATTCGCGTGCAGCCCAGGCCCTACCAGCAGACTGAGCGAAAGCCAGTTGGAGCTAAGCCCGCTTTATGCGACAGCATCTCCAAAGCAAGGCCTACGCGAGCACCTGCCAATGAGTGCAAGCTTCTGCAAGCTTTGAACTTGGGCCTGTCTAGCCACATCAGGCCAGCATCGGCAATTGCAATTGCCTTTGCGGAATGTGTTTTTTATTGGATGATTTTTTTCTCTTAGGCTTTTGTTGTGGTGAATTGAGCTCTCAATTATCGTATGGTTGATGAGCCAGCGCAATGAGTGCAATGCTGCCTCGAGAGTCGGGGGCGTGTGCGACACGCATTTTTCCAGGTGCAAGGTCTCGCTTGACAAACCTGGAGAGCTGTGTATGCGCTGGGGCCATGTTAGGGTCCAGCCTCTTGCTTATGTGGTTGGTGCCTTGGCAAGGTTCAGGGTTAGAAACTCAGTTGGCTGTGCATTTTCAGAAATTGGTAGGCCTGGGCCAATTGAGGGCAGGGGTTAGCTCTTTGTCAAAATAAATGTGGCTGTCTGACATTCGACACGGAGGTTTGGCCCCAAGAGCAGAGGCAGATTTCGTTGCCCCCTTCCAACCCCAGGACGGGTCGCCATAAGACGGGTGCGAAACAGGTCCCATTGTTTCAGAGTGGATCGCAGAATCAGAGGTGTACAGCGTCTGCCGTTTCCAACAGTTTCGGCATGTTTCGGTGTTTGTTTCGATTTCTCTTTTGATCTGGGCTTTCAACGTTGTTTGACTGGATTGCAATAGAAGCTTCAAACTTGGAGTGCTTTCGCATAATCATGCACGCGGTTTGCTGACGTGTTCGGAACTGCCACAAGGCCAAAGTTGGTATGTATTTCATAGGGCCATGCTTTTGTCCTTGGTTTTTCTAATTGCGCATTCGTAGTTTGCACACTTGAGTTGTTGCTGCTGCCAGTGTTTCGGTCTGGACAAATGGCACTTAACACGGCATCTAGAAATCCCCTTTCCACTGGCTCCTTTCGACCATTTTGGGGTGAAGTGACGATGTGTTGGGTCCTGGCAAAGCTTTTGCAGGGGACAGTGCAACACTCTGATTGTTTTCAGCGACGGTGACTTCGGCAGAGCATGTGGATGATAGTGTTCTTTGGTCCTTGTATGGCAGATTCCCTTGATGGTTTCGTTTGCGCCCGCCTGCAGCCCAGCGTATGCCTGGTTTGGCATGCCTGGGTAGGTTTCCTAGTGCTTACCTCCGAGTGCTAAGAAGTTCACCACAATTCTCGGCAATCACTTCACGATTGCCACATCACACTACACCTGGCACCATGTTGCAAAGCATCCGTGTTTTTGCGGCTCAACTCGCAGTCGTCGAACCTTCACCCTACCGAAAGTGGTGGGTTTTTCCAGGCGGCCTTGCGTTGCCGGCCGTACAATGGCCTCTCCAATGTCCGTAAGCACGCAGTCCAGAGAAAGGAACCCTGGAACCCATGACCCATGTGGCCTTCAGGTTACAGACGAATGGGATGGCCTTTCGCAAGGCTGTTCAGTCCGTGTGCAACGATCGACTATTGCAGTACTCTGGTGGTTGCAGTTGGGGTGAAGCTTACCTGAGAATACCATGCGCCATGGCCCCAGCCAGCAAGAGCACAGGTCGGGGCTGCATAGTTGTTGTTGGGCGTCGCAACAATATGCAGCACAAAGCTCCGAAATGGATCAATGCTTGCAGTGCTGTTCAGCAGCTGGCTTGAGACCCTGTCGAGGTACAGCGGTCTGAGGTGCTTACCGCTGTTTGTTCATGTTGCAGGCCTTGAATGATAAAACACAAGCACACAAGCTTGCCAGTTTGAAGAAAAAACAACACCAGGCAATGCACATGACCTAGGTACAAAGCAACACACAGGAGTCATTCATATCACGAGTGGGTTCAGGTTGCCTTCTCGCAAAATGTCCGTATGATTCGACACACTGAATTGGGTTTTTCTGCCAACCTGGGTATGTACCATGACACACGTGAGCTTGCACCTGCACAAGCAAAGTACTCTGATTTGAGAGTAGATGGCTCAAACAATTGGGGGGGAGTGCCATCTACTATTGACAAACGGAGATTATCAATTATCGGAAAATAATCGGAAATGTTCTGGCCAGAGTAGATGGCACAACTCTTTTTGGTTTTCTGAGCACCCGGCTTGGGTGGCTGTGGCCAAGGACTTCTTTTCTCGTACGAATATGTAATTGAGTGGTGGCAACACTAAATTTAGGGGCAATACCAAAGTTGGTGCTGGCAATACTATGCTGGCATTCCATGTTGCCTTTGTTTCGCTTGGTGCCGAACTGTGGGTTGCCCAACCTGAAGCCCCGCGAAAGCGCATGATGCCTACTAAACCCGTGTTACAACTCAATGTGCGTGGTTTGTTGTCGACTCAGCATGGCTGCGGGGACTGACAACATGAATTGCTAGGTCAGCCCAGAGCTCTGAAGCAATAGCAACTAGGTTATTTCGACACATCCCTATGTCGAAGCTTGTCCTTGCGGAGAACACTCGACTTTTTGGTTCACATTTGTGTTGGTTTAATTCCGTTTGAACCCCCCAAACATTACAAGATACTTTTATGCCACCGCCGCCAGGTCAGGAGGACTCCGGTTGGTGCTACGAGGAGACTGACAGCGATGCTCGGCTGAATCGTTTGGTTCCCCCTTGGCAGCCCACCTTTTTAGAGGATCCTGTCTATGATTATATGATTGGAGCTGGGACGTGGTTGACCTTGTGAGCAGGGCCAGGTGGTTAAAACATGTTAAAACCCTTGAGTTGAGTACGGCGAGGGTTCACAGCTTGAGGCATTCCAAGGGCGTGTGAGTGCTTTCCAAGGGTTTCGTGGCAATCCATACTACATCATAGCCAGTTGCCATAAGGAAGTGGTTGACGAGCATCGTCCGGGCTCCCAGCGCATGAGCTTTCGACAGCCTTGAGGCAGCTAATTGCTGATTTCAGGCGGATTGGCAGGAAGGGTCCACTTTGCGACAATGATTCGACTAGAACTGAGTCATGTTTGTTTGACAAGCTCCTATGCAAATTCAATGCTGCTTGGGTCTTAGGGCGTTGGAGATATCTGTCCGACAGGGCAACAACAATAAGGCAGACGTGTTTTATTGTTAGATCCGTTCACTCATCACACTCACCATGCTTCTCCCGTTACTGTTCTAATGGCATGGATATGGATCAGAATATTGAGAAGGTGACACAAAGGAACGGCACAGTAAACCCAAACATCCGCCTGGGCTAAGTGGCCCATGCGGAACACAGGCGAGACCCTGCTGAACGAGCTGCAGCTGGCCGGACAAGGGGGTCTACGCATACAGTGTACGTATATGGCTGTGGGTCAAAAGCAATGGTACCATTTGGGGGTAGGTGCACCACCCATTTTAGTCCATTTTAGTGGGGATTGGGATGTTCACGGGGGGGTGTGGGATTTTGACCCATGGCCATATTGTAGCTCCTTGGGAAATGCGTCAACACTAGTGGCTTGTGATTTGAAACGGTGGACTGGCGTTATAGAATCGCAAATATTGCCCTTGAAGACTTAGCGAATGCCTCAGGGCCTCTCCAGTCATATTTTCCTAGGTTTGATTTATGCCCATCATGTTTTGGCAGACTGGGCAGTCGCTTGGCCTGCTGAGTTGCATTTCATTTTTGCGCATGACAGCCGCACTGTTTCATCTGAATTGTTCGGCATGACGGTGGTCAGTGTGATGAATGGAGAGCGGTCCAACCTGTTTGTTGCGCCCAGTTGCTGCCCCTGCTCAGATCATCATCGTTTGGGGGGGCGTCTGAAAATGGGTGCCTCCCCCTTTGTCCGTTCCAAGGGCACATTGTGTGAATCCCACCGTTTTGAGGACTCCAACTTCGACACACAGCAATGTTTGCAAGCTTGTTCATTTGGCCTCAGGCTTAACAGAGGGGCGAGAAGAAGAGACACTTCCAAAGGATGTGGACTGTGTTGCCCCGGAGAAGAGGACACAGACCCCTGTTGTTGAATAATCTGACAGGACCTGCCATATTGCCGAAACAAAACTGATGGGTTTGTTGGTTGATTCGTACTTGTGGCACTTTATTTTTGCCACTTCTTACTTGCAATCACCACTCCTTGTACCATGTCATGCCCCGTGCTCACGGCAGATGGCGTACTCCGACACGCCTGCAGACATGTACTCACATGGCTAGAGCCTAACGAGCACCATTCAAACATTCAGCAGCGTTGGTTTCCAGGAACTGTCTCCGGAAGCTCTCAGTCAGACACGTCTTCCATCACTCTCCGGGCGCTTTGATTCCATTCGGATGTTGATTTTAGTATTTTGCCGCCCGGTGGAGTCCTTTCGCAGAGCACATTGTTCCAGAAATAGTTGGGCAGACATTTAATGGTGTTTGACACTGCGGGGGGAGGTTGATGTTGCGCCGAAACTTGGGGCAACCTGGAGCCAAAATGTTGTCTAGAGACATTTGTTCACCATGTCTGCAAAGTACACCTGCAAAACAGCGCGGCTTCCAAGCTCTTGCTAGCGCATATGCAAGGAAATAGGCCCGAAAAAGACAGCAGCTCAAGTCCCGTACAAAGAATAACGCTCACCAAGGAGCCCTCAAACACCAGGCTTCAGAACCCATAGACTAACGCAGTGATCCATGGTCCACAGGCTGAGTTCGTAGCATCCCCGGCAGCCACCTCGACCGTTGACCCCGAACGTGCCAAACGCAGCTAACCGCCAATCTGGTCCCATCAGGAAACAGTCCGGGCAACGCAACAACCAAACCGAGTATATGCAAAAGCTACAATTGTAAACATCACGACCCGCGACATCCCATGTTGATCACTACAGCCTGTCCGAGGGTGATGATGTCAAAGAACAAGACAGCCATGAGCCAGTGGTGACACTTACATGAATGCATGCAAAGTTTCGACATAATGAAGTGGGTGCGTAGGCACCTGATGTGGTCGGCAGATGAGCCTGGTCATCACTACTGCCCATAGACCAAACTGGTCGTGACTACTAGCTTCTCCCCCCCCCCCTTCCCTGTGCCTGTGACAACTAGAATGGCTTAGTCCGTAGACTAATGATGTGGTCAATAGGCTAAATGGCTCATCGCCATCTCGCATTTGTGCGAGATGGCGCCATTCCCGCGCCCGCTTTAGTTCCGACCTGGGCTTTTCCGGTCTCGAAGCAGCTTGTGAGCTCCCCGCTTTTGGGACGGGACTTCGGCTCCGCCAGGCGCGGTTGGAGGAGCCGAGCACCATTGACGGGCGCGGCCACGTGTTGAGCGGCGGTCATTTGCAAAGCATATCCGGGCAACGTTTCGGGAGGGCAGAGAATGTCATCAAAACTCAAATGACGTCGCCCTGTAGACCATAAGTTAATGGATGGCCAATCTTCCAAGTGCAAACGGCAAATGCAACCCAAGTACAAACAGCAACCTTCTTTCCGCTGCCTGGGTCACTGGAAAGGCTCCCGCGGAGATCAACCCTAATGTTGCGGAGATCAATTCATGGCATCCCCCACGTTTTGCCTGGAGCCAAGTGGCCAGGCTGAGAGACTGGGTGTTAGATGCCGCGCCTTTGGTAGACGAGCTCTTCCAGGCAGCCGGGTAGGTTGACAGGGGCAATCAGTCAATGGCGGCTTCTTGTCGGGTGAGTGGCTTTGGGGAGGTGGTCCGAAATCTATCAACTTCACCATGGCCAACAACAATGACCAAGCAGCTACTTCATGCGACTTACTGGTGCGGGTCCGGAGTAACGGGCTGGAAGCAATTCCGAGAGCCATAGAGAAACACACACACACACACAAAACACTGCCCTACTTTCCCTTTCACAAATCCAAACACGGGGAATACTATGAAGTGTTGGCTCAATGCCCAAAGTGATGCACCTGAGGGCTTTTAGCCAAATAACGTTTAGCCATTATAAAGTGGTATGAGAATAGTTTGCATATCATACGATACGGGGGGGAGGGCGGGGGTACGTGGGGCAAGACAACGATCCCGGACTGGGCATGCACCTGATAGCGGTCGCTGTGCCTGTTGGACTCCTGGGTCCACATTCCATTCAGCACGTGCCGCTGCTCAGCTGGGTGATGCTTGTTCTTGTATGGAGGTTTTGGTGTAGGAATGCTTGGGCCCTTTCCTTCGAACAGCACAACGTCAATTTGAACAGTGCTCCGCGAGGTTTACAAAGCTGCTTTCAGCCAGACCCAACTCCAAAGCTGGTGAGGTTTTGAGTGGGAACAGCCAGCGGCTATCATGACACCTGGAACCAATGCTTTATGCTGCTCTGGCTTTAGGTAAGATTTATGATGCTCCCAAGCCCTTCCGAGAATGGGTCCAAATCAGGACCTTCCAAAGGGCAGGTTTCGCTTGGTTTCCTTTTTTGTCCATCCAGCCACCTCACCGCAGGCCCTTACTGCGAAGAGCAGCGGTCTACAGCGCTTCCGTGCTGTGATTGCCGAGGCCAGTTTTGTTTTTTTTGGGACTTGAGTTTTACAAATTCCCACTGCTTTTTGGGGGATGAATTGTTTGTTTGGGGTGTTTGTTGGCTGCGAGTAGGTGCAGGAACTCTTGTTGATCTTTGCACGAACCGAAGCACTTCCTAACCTCCACATCACACGGCTCTGAAGCCCCTTTTAAAGGGCTTTCCCAGGGCGACATCTAGGAGTTCAGGCAAATGACAAGATCTTGACCGGATCAGTTTGCGAAATGGGAGTGTCATTTTGTGGAGCCTGCCCTTTGTTTGGTTTACACGCAAAATTCAAACCAAAAGGACGTTTTGGGCCACCTAAAGGAAGACAATGGCCCCCGATGTGGGCTGACTTGCGGTATCTCAATGAAAGCCTTCAATTGGGGCCGTTTGCGCTTTGTTCACTTGCTTTGGTCTAGGGAGTCAACAATTTGGTGTCTTGGGGTGGCTGGGTGCTGCGGTTGTGACTCTAAGCTTGTTGGATGCTACTAGACGAATCATGGGTCAACCTGATAAATTGAGAAAACAAAAACACATTACGCGCAGGCAGCAGGGCCGCTGGATGTTCACAACCCCTTGGAAACATGTCTTGCATGTTCGTATGAGCGATGCTGAGCAGCTGGTTCCATGGCAACTTCCCTTGAAGGGCATCCGAATTGCCATTCCCGGCCTGGCGGCCCGATACGATCACCTTGATACTCAGCAACGCCGTGGGATTTAGAAGCCCAACCAGCGGCGGGCGTCACCTGTTTAACGTGTTTGGACCCCCCACGTTTCAGCCAGAGGCAGCGCGGAACTTGAACGAGGAGCTTTGGCAGGAGTTCTGGCGCCGCCCCTTGTCGACGACGCACAGAGAGGCGCTTGACGGGCGAAGAGCGGGGGCGCAGTCCGTAAGGAGATGGGCATCCACGAAATTCAATGTTTGTTGGGTGACATCAGCACTCGGAAGTAAATCTCAAGTTGGACAAAGCATCAACGTGTCATGGTCAACACTTTCCAGCAGACCTGTTTGTTTTTTGGTTATAGATATATATATACATATAAACATATCTCTCAATGTTGTGCAATGCCAAGTTGCTAGAGTTCCACAGTCGGGGCGGACCTTGAGCATTGGACCAAAGAGGTTCCCACAAGAGATCATGACCTGAAGAGACTTTTCCGTAGAACCAGCTGGAATGTACCTCACACTCCTGCGAGAGCACAGGTGCTGGTTGCAGTCACATCACGAGGTGTCCCATTCTAAGTTGATTGTCACGGGCGGGCAACATTCCGAACGCATGGATGGTCCGGATGCATGAGGGCTTTGTCCCTTTTGGGCCGTCGCACTTGCCCTCTAGCCACGTTGACGAGGAGCAGGTTGTCAAAAACATCGTTCAGGTCGGCGCAGACTACATATAACATACAGCTTGCATTCGAGTGGGCATTTGAAATGGAGGCTTGGCCCGAGCCTTGGGATGACCAAAGGCTACGGGTCTTGAGAGCAGCCTCGACGCAGGACAAGCTGGTCTTCAGCCGCCTACTGGCAGATGCCGAGACCACACCTCAGTATTTGATGCAACTGGTGCTCTTGACACGCCAAGAAGGAACCTCCAGCGCAGACTGTTTCGCCATGGCATTGGCCGTTCGCCTAGATCAGAGAAACATGACATGTTCTATGACCACGACCACGTGCATGCGCACATCGGCTTGTGTTTGATTGTTGACACGGCTTTGGCCTGCCAGACTTGGGGCGCTCCCGAAAGGTATTCCAAACAGCCTGCCAAGTTCAAGGGTCTGGCACCCTACCCGCCCAGCGATTAGCTAAGTGCCAGGCAGGATATCCACACCGACCTGCCATCGGACTTCATGGCAGAATTCGACGTTCAAACAATACCCATCCGTTGTCGCATATGGATGAGGCACCGTGGATACCGTAAATCTCCAGCGAGTAAACGGTCACACTGTTCAGCGTTACATTTGCAACACTGGAGCCACATGTATGGAGCTACCCCCAGTTGTTGGAAGGGTTTCCATGTTTGGTCTCGCTGAAGGCCTCTTTGGCGCAAGCTCATGGGAACGGAGGACAGGTGCAAGCCTCGGAATGACTGGGATCCAATTGCGCGCTTCCTAAATGCGGGTGAATCTCGCGCGAACTATGCCCGTGACCTGCTGAGGAGGTGGTTGTTTGGTAGGTTGATGGGCGGGTGGGTGGGTTGGAGGGCTGGTGGGTTGATGGGTTGGTTGGTGGGTTGGCGTGTTGGTGGGTGGTTGGGTTGGTTGCTTGCTTCGTTGCTTGGTTGCTTGGTTGCTTGGTTGCTTGGTTGCTTGGTTGCTTGGTTGCTTGGTTGCTTGCTTCGTTGCTTGGTTGCTTGGTTGCTTGGTTGCTTGGTTGTTTGTTGGTTGCTCGGTTGGTCGGTCGGTGGGTCGGTCGGTCGGTCAAAACCAGGTTGTTTTTGGCTGAGGGGAACGGGTGTGAAATCCAAATGGAACGGGGTCAATCAGAATGGTTTGCGCTCACCATTCCACATCCGGTTCACGTGCAAGAGGTTACTGGCACAGGTGAGTTCCGTCAAAGCAGAGGGCGTCCCGTGAACATGTTTGGACAGTTTATCAGATGACAGAATGCCTTGACTTCATACGAAAGGCCGAACGTGCGCATCAACAGAGTGATGTGAGTCCGCAGGCATAGGCATTGGACCGAACCGAAGGCGCCTGTACAATCAGTTGTTCACACCAAACCGATGTCGCCTTTTGGCCAGCAGCACGGTGACCATCTGCCTAGTACTGGTTCACTACTGGCACACAGGCGCTCTCGCGGCGCGTCCGCCTAGCTCAGGATGTTTTCAAAGAAGCGCAGCGCCGGGAAGCCCAGTGGGTGAAGTGAAGTCCTGTGGGGGTAGAAAGATGTAGGTATGATGGTATGCTGATTTGTGGTGATCTTTGGCTTGCCTTATGCTTAGGCAATGCAGGTTGAATAGGAGGCTTTCGTAGCTGCCAAGTTTGTACCTTACCGCACCTGTGAAACTCTGCCCATCATAGGAAGCACGGCGCAGCAGAGCCCATTGTTAGGCAGCTACGTGTACAGGTTAGGACACTCAACGGCCGCCTGTGCCCATTTTGCCTGGACGATTTGTGGGGCCTGGAGAGGCCGGCCAGGGCGACAGCCAACAAAGGCTCTTTCCACATTTTCTTGTGGATGAAAGGGGGCGGGAAGCGGCTACTTTTCATAAATTCATAAAGCACTAGTCGTATAGGATTTGATGGGTTCCCACAGCATTTGAACAGTTAAACATACGGGGGTTCCAATCCGTGCTTTTCCCTTTTGCAGGTAAAAGGACGGCAACACACTTCGCCAAGTTTGGCGGGGTCGGGCAAATTGTTTTCTGCACGGCTCAACTTTCGGCACTTGCTCACCGGCCCCAAGGGTGGTCTCCTGGTCCGTCTTGTCAAAGGAAGCCTGTGGGTATTGCACTGAATCAGAGACCGTGGTACTGTATATTACATTGTTGCCAACCAATGACATTGGCACAGAAGGCTGCAAAACTCAACTCAAGCCACCCATTGCCTGAGCGGTGCTGGAGCTGTTTCCCATGAAAGCTTTTAGCTGTCTGAGGCTCAGGGAGAGATAAAGGAGTACCTCTACATCGGCACGCGGCCTAGCAGAGGCGAACTTGAAAGCATGTCATGACATGTTGAGAGAATTGGCATCGGTTGCATTCCTTGTTGCTTCAGCCTTGTTGTCGTGTAGCTACATGCGTGCCTTTTCCTGCAGGCGTTGGCTCAGAAGAGCTTTACAACATGCGCACCCAACAACAAATCGCATGCGACGGGTTGCCTGCATAACAGCTGTTGTTTGGGCTGGCAGAGCAGCTGACAGATGATGCTTTCAGTGACTTGCCATTATGCCATATGTTGCGGGCATTGTGGAGCAGATGGTTAGGCAACGAGTTGGCTCTAGCAGGATCTGCCAGCTTTAACCTATAGCTGCTCCGGTTCGGAAAGAAACAGGTCGCTAGCCATGGGCTGTGCATTTGTTTTATCCTGTCTTCTGATGCCTCTTTGATTTCCGGGATTCTCTGTGCCCTTCTCGGCCTGTGTTGCACACGATCTGACAAGCCCTCGACACCTCGCGATCGATTTGGCCGTGTCCCGTGCCAGGGCTTCTTGGCTTGGGCAAGGGATGGTCGGAGGGTAAATGGTTTCTCCAGCATAGTGAAGGCACGTGTTGCGCATTGCACGTAAATGAGAGATACCCTGAAGTAAGTTGGGCACGAAGGATCATTCGGGGACGGAGTGTGCTTGTGGAATATAGCCCGCAGGGCTTGACAGCCGCCGGTGATGCCTGTGCAAGATGTGGCAATTACTTGGCTCGTGCGGGGACCGCCAAATCGGAAACTTGTATGAGCAAAGGAACCCGGCTGTGGGTCAACACCCTGGTACCCCCCTACCCCTCAGATCCCCTTTGAAATGGACCAAACAAGTACCCAATAAAGGGTATCTGAGTCTGGGTTTTGACCCACATCCACTATGAGCAGGATGCATGCAATTGTCTCGGAAATACAGTGTTCAGTGGACCAGAAACGGTGGAGAAAGTGGCGCAGCTGGCGATTGGCCGGCCAAGGCTGGGGCTATATAACATGAGTTCGGCATATGAGATGACTTGCTTATGTTGTTCGAAGGGTCCGTGTCTAAATGCAATTTCTGAATCTCTTGTCACAAAGGGGGCGTGTGCTTGAGAATGTCAAGAGTTGTTATCTCCAGTATGCCACAAACCTGTCGTGCCTGGGTTCCTGTCAACTTGCCGCATTGCCTCAGCATGTTAGTGTTAGAAGCCGAATCCAACTAAATGTCGGATTGCGAAAGAGAGAGGGCGTACGGGCGACTTGACAATTTCGAAAGGCTTCAGCGAGGTGCATCGCATGGCATTGAGATCCATTCCAAGAATCCCTGTCATCAGCTTTGTGCGCATGGCACTGAAAGCAGCAAAGGAGATGCCACTGCATACGGTACAGGCAGGATTAAAAAAGACATAAAAAACAATCACAGCTTTTGCTGTACCATGGGGCAGGCAGGAATCCTGGCTTGCCAAGCCATGGAGCAGCAAAAAAAACAAGTGTCCTCAGCTGAGGAGATGTCGGAGAATGTCTTTTATGTCTTGCAGAAAGCGCTGCTTGTGCCTAGCCTTGGAAGGTTGGCCGGTTCCACGTGCAGTCCAGGCGTGCAGAGTCTCCACGAAAAGAATGACCATTGTTTAATTGGCGGGGTGGGGTATGGATGAACCAAGCAAGCAGAATGCCAGGCTTTGGTTCGTTCTTTCATTTGCAGTGCCAGTGCCAAGGCTAGACACCACACGCTTCAGTTAATCAGGTTCACTCGGGGAGGGGGGAGCCCACTTGCCCACGCTGTTAGCTTGAGCCCGTCGGCCATGGACGCCAGGACGCTGCCTCTTGCCCCCCCCCATTTCGAAACAGAAGGGGTGCTCACAGGGATGTAGCTTGCCAGCTCCAATGCTTGCGACACACTGTAAATACTTGTTTTTTAATTCCACCCCAGCCAAACAAGAACAGAGGAGGGAAGGTGCTGTAAGTCCAACACGGAAGCGAGCAGAAATATCAGCATACAAACTTGGAACCAACAGTTATACCCGCTGCACACCACTAGGTCCCCAAAGGATATATTCAGGCCAGTTGGCAAATCAATCACCTTTACCAGCTGATTTAGAAGATCCTTGTCAAGGAGGTTTATGTAGGAACCCCTGTTCTAGAGCCTGGTTTCGGGGCTCTGTTTTCTCAATGTTGGTTCCGTGACACGGGCGCCGAGGTGGTGAAGATGAAGCTGAAGAACGAGGAAGAGCTGACGAAGGAGCTGTTGCAGACCTTCGCGTACCCTGGGGACCATGAGGAGCGGAGGCTCAGAGGTTTGGGTGGCCAGCGGGCGTGTCTGTGTGTGTGTGTGTGTGTGCGTGCGCGTCAGAAATAACTCAAGTAGGTTTGACTTGCTAATGCTTGGCCTGGCGTTTGTTTCGCCGCAATAGAGTTGCCCCCGGGTCATACTTAACAGCACAACATCTTGGCTGCTGAACAACTGCCCTCAAAACACCAAAGCCGATTGCTGTTTTTTGTTCTTTTCTCAGCGTGTTGGCGTTTCTGGTTTCTTTTGCTGAGTGATTGCTGGTAACACTTGCCCAAGAAACTAAGAAGGTCAGATATTCCGAGTCTGGAAACATGAGTTGCCCCTCAAAAGGTTTGTTCTGGGCCCTCCCTTCCCCCAAGTTGCCAAACGGTTACTTGTTGATGTGTGTGGATGGCTGAATTTGCGTGTCTTTAAGGGTATCCATTTCTCGGTTGCTACACGGAAAGAAACGCCGGCCTGGGCCGCACTGCTCGCGCTGTGCGTCCGGGCCGCCAGATAAAGTCAAAGGAAAACAAAGGAACCCCCGCATTTTGCGGGGTTTCGATTTCCCTCTCTCAAGGCACGCCGATATGGGTCCCATTTGGCAACAATTACAAACTACATTGAAGAGTGGGGTGACCACATTGGATGGGTATGGTGTTCGCCAGGTTCAGCACTCAAAATCAATCAATCGACATAGTTTTAAAATGGCTTGCAACGAAACAGGAGCGCATGCATGCAGGATGACCAGATGCTACTCCCAATTGATTTGGGCGCCTTGGATGAACATGATGAACTAAATGCGTTGGCCGCGTATAGCGTTTTGTCGCCAATTTGCCAAGAAGCTTCCTTGGAAGCTTGTTTGGCCTCATGGGCAGTTTGGCAAGTTGCGGATGGATTTCTACGTTTACTGGAAATTAATCACAGTCCTAACCCACTTTCACAGAGGAGGCTTTTCAGTTTTGATGCCATGTGAGCAAAAGGAAGCTGAGTGCTGACGACTCTGAGCAAACCAAGGCACCTTGGATGCTCACTTTCCTGAACAGGCGCTCCGCCAAGCAATCTTGATAGCACAGCTCGCTTGCTCTGGCAGGTTTATTCTGGGATTGGAAGTGGCATGTTTTTCGCCTCGCTGATTTTGTTTGGGAGGCTAGCAAAACTCGTTCTGGATTGCTTGTCATGCATGAAAAAGCGACCAGTTCGGGTGTGGTATGTCGCGTGTCCCTTTCAGCTGGCATACCTGACTTGACCGCAATTCAGAGTGGCTCGCTAGATTCCATCAGATAGCTCTTAGCGCTTCTTCAGCATGGCCGTGACGAGCCTTCGTGCCTTGCCCATGCTGCTGCTGATGGCCCTTGGTGGCTCAGAAGTCGCCCCCAGCAATGAGACTCACTGGGGCAACTTGGTGTCTTGCAGTTGCGGCCTCACGTGTGAGAAGCTGGAGGGTGCCTGGTTTGGCCAATCCTGTTCTTGCCATGGCTGCAACTCCACCAACTCCACCAATGCCACAGCTATAGCTACTCTGCGCGGAAGCGTGCAGCCAGCTGTAAAGGGCCACCAGGCTGGCAACACGACTCTGCGGTCCGCAGACTGGTCACCAAGCACTGGTGAACCGCAGAACCTGCAGTGCAGCTGCGGAAAGTACTGCCAGTATGGCCGCCAATTGGGCTGGGGAGGCATTTACTATTGCTTTGTCTTCGCCTGCAACCCATGCTGAGCGCAAGAAGCGCAAGCTGATGAATCTTCAGCAGGGTGGAGATGCTTACAGGGCTCTTCACCCAGCTCGGTCTAATTCAGCCATATGTAAAGACGGGAGCAACCAGCGATGCACGTCCATCCCTGCTTGCCGTTTCTTTGCTTCTGGCGAAGCCGGAGCGTACAGAGAAGCGCAATCACCAGATTGCTCAGACCAGCCGGCAGGTGCCAAAACATAAACTGCATACTGAAGCTCCCAATGTATCCAACCCCGCTGGCTTGATCCTGCAGGTTGATCAGGCCATCATTGGGGCTTTTGATCTGACAAGAGCCCTGGTTGAGTGGGTGTGTATGTGTTTCTATTTGTGTGTATGCGTGTGCGGGTGCCAAAGAACAAAGCCAACTGGGCAATATACCCAAGGTTCGGGCTCAGGTGTTTCCTTGTGCGTTTGTTGATGTCAATCACCACGGCAAAGTATTCTTCAACATGGCGTCGAGCTTTCCACTGCGAAAGTGTGTCTTTGCATAGAGTTTTGAGGAATGTTTTGGGACCGGGAAATCAATACCAAGTGCTTGTCCGTCCATTTGCAACGTCCTGTTTTGTGGGTGCTGACTGTGCCGATTTGACCGCAATTCAGGGCTCGCTAGATTCCATCAGATAGCTCTTAGCGCTTCTTCAGCATGGCCGTGACGAGCCTTCGTGCCTTGCCCATGCTGCTGATGGTGGCCCTTGGTGGCTCAGAAGTCGCTCCCAGCAATGAGACTCACTGGGGCAACTTTGTGTCCTGCAGTTGCGGCCTCACGTGTGAGAAGCTGGAGGGTGCCTGGTTTGGCCAATCCTGTTCTTGCCATGGCTGCAACTCCACCAACTCCACCAACGCCACAGCTACAGCTACTCTGCGAGGAAGCGTGCAGCCAGCTGTAAAGGGCCACCAGGCTGGCAACACGACTCTGCGGTCCGCAGACTGGTCACCAAGCACTGGTGAACCGCAGAACCTGCAGTGCAGCTGCGGAAAGTACTGCCAGTATGGCCGCCAATTGGGCTGGGGAGGCATTTACTATTGCTTTGTCTTCGCCT